ATTTTATTATCATCATTTTTAAATCCTCACCCAAGGATATGCCTTGTTTATCGATTTTACAGAGAGAGGAAAGGAGAGGGAGAGAGACAGAGAGAAACATCAATGTGAGAAACATCGATCAGCTGCCTCTCGCATGCACCCCGACTGGGTATTGAACCCAGAACCTGGCGATGTGCCCTGACTGGGATTTGAACCCACAAGTTTTCAGTGGACTGGACGATGCTCCAACCAACAGAGCCACGCTGGCCAGGGTATGGTAACACTTTTAAAAATGCAAGCTAAGCACTGGGATTCCTTGGAGACCGGAGCTGGGGAATTTGGAGAACGGGCTCGTCGGGCAGCCTTCAACAGGGTAGTCTGAGCGGTACCCAAGGGGGCCCTCCTGTTCTAAGGCTGCATGGCTGGTGTATTCTGCTCCCTAACCGCAGAAAGGGTCTCCTACAAAATAAACCACTTTTAGAAGATTCAGCACTGGCTGCCAGAACAGCCTTCCCCTAGACACCCACAGGGCTCACTCTCTCACCCCTTCAAGTCTCTGCGCAAATGTCTCCTTCCCAAGGAAGCCCATCCTGCCCACCCTACTTCACAGTGTCACCAGTCCACCGGTCGTATCCTGCTATGCCTGTTCTCCCTCGCCCTGGTCTATACGTTTCCTTGTTCTATCATATAACTGACTTATTCCTTATGTTCATGATTTATTGCTTTTCTCCCCCGCAATTAAAAAGTAAATTCCACGAGAACGGGGACTTTATCTATTTTGTCACTGCTCTATTCCAAAAATGCCGAGCATTCTAACACAGAGCAGGCCCCAAGTGAATAGCTGTTGAGTTGGAGTCCAGTGTGGCATTTGGTCTCGCCAAGGTCCCTCCCCCTTCTCATCCTCGTGCCCCAGGCAGCTTGAGAGCCTGGGCTGGTGCGCTGGAGCCGGGCTCCTCGGACGACTTGTGTGAGGGGCCGGTCCACAGTCTCAGTGTTGCTGTGGGAGGCAGGGCTTAGCCAGCTAAGAGCAGTGTCGGACCCCGACAGCAGGGAGCCGCGGCCCTGCACTGCCAGGCATAATGGTATGATGGTGGTTGAGTCACCTGTCTCTCAGAGCCTTGGTCTGATCAACGCAAAATGAGGATGATGCTTTTCTTATTGGGGCAGGTAAAATATCTGTGGGGATGAATCCCTAGCACCTGGCACAGAGCCTGGCACAGAGCTGGTATGCAATGCATTGGCTGGTTGATTATGAGGAAAATGTGCGATAATGTTTGTATACTTGTATATACGTAAAGCACCTGCATAGAGCCTGGCATGTGGGAAGCATGCATTCATTCACACAATAAATATTTATGGAGTGCCTACTGCGTGCTGGGCAAAGTGCAATAACTATGGGGACTGTTTTTGAGCGCCTCGTGCTCAGGAGATGCCACAGTAGTGGAGAGACCTTCTGCATGAGATGAAACAAGCTGAAAGGCAGAGTGAAGGGGGTGGCCCATCTCATGACCCAGGCTGCCTCAGCATCCCTGCAGAACCTCAGACAGGTGAATACCCAGACCCAGGGCCTCGCCCTCCCATTGGCCGCGGTGCCTCCAATGGCCCTGCTCTCGCAAGTCAGTCATGCAGGGGACGATCACTAAGGTCTGGACTTGCCCTCCCAGTCCTCTCTTACTGACGTCTGTGTGGGCTGGGCACACAAACCACGTACGTTTGATAAGAAGCCTGTTCAGTGCGGGCTGGAAGCTGAGGTCTAGATTCCCGACATGTCTGCTCTCTGCTCCCCAAGCGCTTGGATTTTAGGGCAGGGAGGGCATCTGTCTGCTCTTTCTCCCATAGTTCATCAGTATGTCCTCCTCACTGTGCTCAATGGGTTGTGACTCCCAGACATGTAAAATCAGCAATGAGCACATTAAAATCAAACCGTCTCTAAGGGTTGGTCACTACCAACTACTATTATTAGTAATAGTAGCAACAGCACCTCACATATAGTCAGCAACCCCTAGGTGCTAGTCAGATACAAAGCACTTCTACATATGTTGCATCTCACAACAACCCACTGAATTAAGTCATTAGCCCAATATACATATGAGAAAACTAAGGTTCAGGGAGGTTTAGTATCTTGTCATGATTGCTCAGCCAACAAGAGCTGGGAACAAGATGCGCCCTAAGCAGCCCAACCCCACGTGGCATCTGCAAGACCCATTTATGGTTGTGTGGCAAAGGCTCTCTTTAAGCACCATGGTGTGTCCAGCGGTGACGCCTCTCTGGGCCTCCAGTGTGGTGGGGACTCCTGAGTTTGTGCATGTAAAGCCCCCTGACTCATATCCAGCCAAAAGGATTCATAATGACTGACGTGATTGAAGAGCCTGGTCTGAGCTCGAGGCAGAACGCGTTCTTTGTGAGGGCTGGAGGACATTCTCAGATGGGGATACGGGCATCTACACTCCAGGTTTCCAAAGGTAAGGGAACCTCAGTTTCCAGAATACCCTTGTGCGTGTCACTCTGAGTGCTCCCTGAGCCTGGTGGGGCATGAGGGGACCCTGATAGGCTGCCCACACTCTATGGTTTACAAGCTGGGTGTCCTGGGCTGGTTATTCCATACTCTGGGTCCTGGTACCCACACCACAGGGCTACTGTGAGGACTGTAGGACAAAATCCTCCGGACACTGGATACACACCCTGGCACAGAGTACACACTCAATAAAAGGAGGGTGCTTTTATAAGCAAATTAATCCTCATTCTTAGAATCATTGTCATGTACACGAACAATACATGAATAGATGTGTTTTTTCTCGCTCTGGGAGGGTAGGGTGTGGGGCAGGATTTCGAACCTAGGTCGCCGAGAAGCCCGTCCCCCTCCTCTGCTGCCGGTCTCCCCAGTGCAGCCCTTCAGACCTGCCGCAGCCCAGGAGGGGCCTGACTGCATGGCGGGGTTTCCCAGGTGTGCCCCATGACACCCAAAGCCCCTCCGGGCGTGAATAATGACGGCTTTGTGCAGTGTTCCAGGAGCACACTGAGGGCTACACTCAACCTTCCTGGAATCTGGGAGTGTGTTTTCATGATACTAAGCAAGAAAAAAAGCAGCCTTAAAAAAATTGCTCGCTGGGAAAAGTGCGGGGATACGTGGGGAGCAAAGTGTCTGAGAGACAGAAGAGAAACGCACGCTGTGGCCGACAGCGGGGCCTCCGAGCCTGGCTCCGCAGCGGGGCCAGGCCGCTTCGGAGGAGCTGGCCCGGCAGGGTGGCCACCGAGGCTGGAACCCTGGGCAGATCTAGAATAAATGAATTACATTCCAAATCGACATAATGCTATCATTTATGGTCCCAGACTTTATGGCTACCAAGTCCTGGAAATCACCAGGAGAGGTGGAGATACGATAGGACGTAGCTCTTGTGCACCCCATCCCCGCGGCGGGGGCAAGTGTCTCCTCAGCAGCTGACTGACCTGAGACCTTTGGATCATGTGTGCATCGTAGCTGGACCCGTGGTACTTGGCCGTAATATCGGGACTGTAGCAAGCATCACAAGTGCATGGTATGTTCGGGCTCAGGGGCTGTTTCCTAGGTCTATACACCTGTGGGAGAAAGCTACAATGGTTAGGTGCAGGGGGCAGGGCAGAGGGCGCACAGCGAAGGAATTGGGAGAAATTAAAGAAGGAGGCTCATCTCGACTTTCTGTGGCCAAGTGGGTGAAAACCCCAGTGTAGATGCACAGCCCCAAACGAGAGGGCAGATGGAAGCGGCCCCCAGCCCGGGGCCAGCGTTAGCAAGGCATGCCGCTCTGTGGAATGACCCCCGTGTCTGGCCGTGACCAGGACCCTCCCGCTGCAGGAGAAGGCACCCAGCGTGGCGGTGGTCTCTCTCTTTCAGCAAGACAGCCCCTGAGAAGTGGACTCTGGTTCAGGGCCAAAGGATGCCTTTTCCTTCCCGGGGAGGAAGGGCTGGCCCGGTTGTGAGGAGAAGGGGCCTCTGCCGTTTGGCTTCCTTTCCGTTCTCCTTGCACCTGTGCTCCGCCCGGATCAGCCTCGCAGGCAGCAGTCCCGCCTGGGCACTGGAATCAATGTGGACACACTCCACACGGGACCATGTGGCATTTAGAGTTTCAGAGCCACAGGAGGCCCGGGCTAGACGTGGCAGCCACCTTGTGAGACCACAGAGCACTGAGCCATACGATTTCCTGGGTTTCATAATGAAGCTAGAATCTCAGTGAACATCTTTAACCACTGCTTCTAAAAGCCCCCAAGTTATACATAGAGGAGAAACAATGTCTGAAGATTGTAGGGATGATTTTGCAATATGCTTCAGGTACAATTATTGCCATGTAAGCCTCTTCCAGTAAACCCACAGAAAGCAAAGAACTTTCTGCACAAATTAGGACTTTGCCCCTCCTACCTTTTCCCTCGGGAGAAATACAGTGGCCTAGTGAGGAGGACAAAACAGGACATGGGGTAAACAGGCGATAAAAAATACTCGAATACATATGGCCGGGGAGGTCTCCAAGCATGGTCTGGCGGCGCCAGGGGCTGGGAGACGCTCCTCGGCCGAAAGGACCAGGAGGAAACAGTTAAAGAACCAAAGCTGGAAGTATGGTGAGAAAGAACATAAAGACCAGGATGAGGGGGTTTATTTATAGGGCCCAGAGAGTGAGCAAGACAGAAGATAACGGGTCCAAAGGGAGAGAACGTGCCCAGAATTTAATTAGTGGTTTCTAGGCTTTAGTCAGAAGTCATACAAAGTCCACTGGAAGGAAGAGAGCCGAGCGCTATTTCTGGGGAGATGATGCTAACACAAAAGGAAGGAAGCAGCGCTGGCTGCAGACCACACAAGCCCAGGCGCATGCACACCCACAGGAAAGCAGGACAGTGGTGTTCCGGTGACAACTGGGCCATTTCACTCCTACCTGCTTTCAGCCGCTTGAGCCTGCAGGATGGGCATGGGAAAACGAAGAGGCGCCAAACCCAGAGAAAGCACCCAAGGACCCAAACCCAGCAAAACACACCTTCCGGGCGGGAGGCCCCACCTGCTGCTTTAACTGGTGCACCAGTCGGTCTTTTTCCCGCTTGAGGGCCATGACTTCTTCCTGCGTCTTTTTCTTCTTGGAGGCAGACAGTTCCAGCAAGGCAATGTTTGCGTCTTTCTCACTGATGGCCGCGAGGAGCGCTTCCTGTCTGGTGAAATAAAGATCATTGTGATGATTTTATCAAGTGGAAAAGAACACCATTCGGCATTTATATTTGAAGCAAGCCATGGAGTATTGTCTCAATAGGAAAGAATTGTGGATAATGTTTAAGACAAACCACCTCCTTGACTCTCAGAATGGACAGGATTGTGTGAATCTGAATCCCTGAGACTCACACACTGTGTCCCCTACGAGAGGCACCTTTCAGTGGCTTCACAGATATAGCTGCATATGAGAAATGAAGGGGTCCACCTGAACATTCGCTTCTAAAATACTTTCATCCATCTACCCATTCATCCATCTATCCATCCATCCATCTATCCATCTATCCATCTATCCAGCCAGCCAGCCAGCCAGCCATCTCTCCATCCATCCATCTCTCCATCCATCCAGCCCGCCATCTCTCCATCCATCTATCCATCCATCCATCCATCCATCCATCCATCCATCCATCCAACCAACCATCCAACCATCCATCTCTCCATCCATCCATCCATCCATCCATCCATCCATCCATCCATCATTTGCCATGTAAGGGCCTATGTGCCCCAAGACAACCCAACAAAACTGGGCAGCAACTTCAATGTCAAGTATAATTTTTTCCTGCAAAATTTCCTTTTGAAGGCAGGCAAGAGATATTTACTGGGGTTCCTTTGCCACTTCCAAAGCAATTGGTGACGCTGGCTCGCCATTCCACCAAAAATCATTCCACCCTCAGGATCCACATCTCAGTAACTGTAGCTCCATCCACTAAGTAGCCCAACTCCCAAACTTAAAGCCGTCCTTGACTCCTTTCCTTCCTTCTCTATCCAGAACCAATCAACAACTTCAGCAGGTTTTATTCCAAAATACATCCCTTCTCTAAACTAATCCACTGTTAGGAAATGTTTTGCAACTACCAGCATCTACTTACAGAGCTCACTCACTGGTCTCCCTGGTACAGGGGCCAAAGTGACCTTTCAGGACGTTGTAAGTTGGGATCCCACCGTGTGGTTGCATGAAAATTCCACTGCATCACCCGTCAGATGTCAGACCCAGACCCTTTCCGGATGCCTGCAGCTCGTTACCCCATCTGGCCCTGACCCCTCTGTGAGGTCAGCGGTCTCCGTTCCTCCTTCCCCAGTCGTTAGGCTCCAGCACACCTTGTTCCAAACTCCTTTCTAGTCCTTGAAAGTGTTACACTTGTTCTCACCTCACCGTGCGGTCTTGCCATCATCTGGCTGCAATGGCTTCACTCGGCGGCTCCTTCCTTCAGGTCTCAGCTCCAGGTACCCACCTCAGAAAAGCCGCTTCCAGCCGCTCTCCCTGGCAGTGTCTCTCCACCTGGCACCGTGTGCCCGAGCCACTGGCCTGCTACGTTACACAGAAGTGCTTTTCTCTTTCAACACAACTCTTCACTATTTGAAAAGATCTTAGATAGTCGTGATTTCTCTCTACTTGCCAGTCCGTGCGACCGAAAGCGCCTCTGTCTTGTGCACCACCAGTCCCCCAGCTTCTAGAAGGGCACTGAGCGCAGAGAGCGGCTCAAACACGTTTGCTCAGGGAATCTCGACGTTCCCAGTACACTTTCCAAGAACTCGGAAGACACCACTGTGCAGCTCTTCCTCTCTCCCAGAAAGAACTGCAATGCTTCGACTCCTGATGACTCTCGGATCGCTGCTGACTCAGAACAGTGTTCGCGCTGCCTCCTCCCATTTTACAGTCCAACTTTCTGGCAACATCTGTTGCAAATTTTAATCTGGAATTTTCTGGGATCATTATTAACTAGGAAATGGCTCTCCTGGTGTGTTTCATTCCGTCCTCCTCTCCACGCAGGGAAGCCTTGTCCCAACCATTTTGTCACGTCAGCAGTAGGCAAGCTAATTGAGAAGACCCCACAGTCACAGGAAGGCCTCAATACTGGGTACATTTTTTGCACACAAGTCCCAGGACTAAAACCTGGTCATGATCCTGTTTTGCCTTCCTTTAATCCCCACCACCAGACCAGACCCTCACCAGATGTCTGGACAATATGGTCATTATTTGGATCTCAGATTTTCCCCCTTTTCACTGCAGGGATTTGTATGGACGTTTCTGGGCCCCGCTAATGCCAGGCGGTAGAAGCCGCTGACGGAGGCTCAGTCAGACATGTGAGCAGCGGAAACGTCAGGAAATATCTCCAGTTCCAAGAAGAAAACCAGTGCAGGCTGGACTACCAAAAGCAGTACTAATATCCAGCTTCACAGAGCCGGTCTCTTTCTGGATAGCATCCTGAGACAGGAGACATGCTTGTTGTTGATAGCCAGTGCATACTTATACATGAGGCCGAGCCGAAGAGGCTCATGGACTTCCAGCCAGAGAACCCACTGCTCTCTCTTCTCAAGCTTAGCTGCACTCAAACTGATTGCAATATTTTACCCCACTCTGCCCTAAGTCAAAGTGTCCAAGTAACATTTTTCAACGGAAAACTAAAAATCATTATGAGGAAAACTGGAAGTTGACGGTAAATTATGCTACATCCCTATGATTTACTCCTTACAGGCAGCCATGTAAAATGCTGATGAAAAATAACTTAATGTGAAAACAGTTATGCTTGTTGAGAGACAATTCTCCATGAGTCTCGTGTTTTTTGCACACTCTTTATGAGCACAGGCACTATCTTCTTTTCTCACAACTTTTAAAGGATATTTGTATAATAAGTAGCCTTGGAAAATAGTGGATCAAAGAATAGTTACACTTACTACTCTATAAAATAATGTCTCCTTCTGGAGGAAGCGGCAGGCATGTTACTGTCCATTAAAAAAGATGTGGGCTCCCTAAACTCAGGGTTGCTCTTCTTCAGTGCAACCCACTGCAGGTGTGGCCATTTACCTGGCCCCTCGGTCCTGCCTTCATGGAACTTGGGGAAAGGAGAACTTACATAAATATGCTGATTCTATTGTCTGCACCTTGAGCAATAAAATCCTTGGTCTCTGACCTAAAATCTGCCTGCATCCATGAAACTGAAGCGGCTAACCTGTTAGCATGCCATAAGGAAAATCTCAGACCCTTCACAGTTCTCGACATGCAAATGTATATACAGTAAGATCCCAAAACATAAAATTGTATTCCTAGAAAAAACAAAAACAGGAAGGAAATACAGCGAAATGCTCATAGTCATTATCTTGTTTGTAGAATGGATAGGCTAGTTTTCTGGGGGATTTTGTTTTATTTTTTATTTTTGCATATACCTTTCTGCATTATTCTTCCCTTCCACAGAGTATCATAAGAGTACAGGCTAAAAAATAGTAAATGAAGCTTTTCAGTCACCAAATAAACTACAGAAACATGCTTCAAATACTTGGCACATGTGAAATTTGCTCATTTTCCATCAAGATATTTATGTTCTCCTACCTGTACCTTTATGCACAGGTAAGTGCTCACACATGTACTTTCACACACACACACACACACACACACACACACACACACACACCCCTCCTACCGGCCACACCATCTCCCACTAGGACAACTGCAGTGATCTCCGAGCTAGTCTCCCTGTGTCCACCTTCATATTCCCATGTCCTACAGCCCACTCTAACCCATTTCCCTCCTTCAGGTCAAATTCAGAATTATATAACTTTAATAACAGTAAAAGTCATCATCAGCCTAAAGAATGACCCCTCTGAACTCCTTTCCCCCTAGAATTCTATAATTTAGTCTTTTCAAAATGTAACATGTATTCCCCTATAATAATACCATCAAAAGTCCCAATACGTTAAATTCTAATATCAGCTTTCTGTTGATCATAGAAAAACATATCAATTGCTAATTCTTTACAGACATTATCACTAAATACAGCCCCAAATCTAATTACACTTAAATCATTTTATAAAAGTACAATTAAAAATGCTCAGCAATGCTAATATAAATACAAAATAATCAATTTTGTTCTTCATAACCTTTTCCTCATTGTATTTTTTGTCTTGTTTTATTTTACTTACTTTTGGCTAACAAATCTATTTTATAAGTACTGCTATTATACCATGATAGAACTTGGAATAAAATTAGTGTAAGACGGGTTACATATTTTGAAACCCTCATTTAAATATTGGCCCTAATTAATGATAATTTCTCCTAAAATATCGTGAGTGAAATCTACATCCAATAACTCCAGTCTATTTAAATCAAGGAGTAATTGCCAGAAAGTAATAAAAGTATATAAAACTAGAAAAAGATGAACATTTCACACTCTGGAATACTTAGGAAGACGTTCTGAATATGGTAGGATCATATCTGGCTGCTACCCCCTCATCCAGGAATGTCAGCTAAAGCAAACTCCTCATTCTAGGGTGGCAGAGCCATCCTATTAACTTTTTTTTTAAGCAATAAGCTTTATAAAATGAATTTTAAATAACTATCAAGCTGATACATCTTAACTAATAATTTAAATCACTGTGAGCTAATTCTATAGTTACGGGCTTTCATTCTCTCTGCTTTAAATGTCAGGGTGTTCTCTTTTGAGGGTGAGGATTTCTGCACATAAGTTTTTATAAAAGAGTAGCTTAATCTGCCGCCATACCTCAGATTCTACACCTTCACAGTTCCCATAGCCAGTCTGCTGATACACCCACTTAAAGTACCTAATGGTCTATTTTGAGAAAATGGCAAACATTGAAATAAATTAAGAAGCTTAAATGGAATGTTCTTTCTTTGTGTATTTCCAAAGGGGGATTAAGATGGAGCCTTTGAAATACTGGGAAAACGAAAATATTTGCAGTTCCGATGCCCCCTTTACATCTACACATGTCAGTGACAAGACACTTGGGTGTGAATTGGAAACACGAAGAAAAATGCTCATTATTTTCCCCATCAAGTGAATTGCCTTCTGGAGCCAAGGCCAGATTTTCATTGCTTCAGAGACTGTTACTGTCCCATCAACCTGAAGAAAGTTTCCATGAGCCTAAAATCACTTTCAGTACTTAATCTGCCCTTTGCTTATTCACAGACAATACGGAAAGAACGTATATA